AAATCGACCCGAATTCTAATTTTTTAGCCCTAAAATGCCAAAAAATGAGGAACGGTCATGCCAAAGCCATGACTATTTTTCTTTAGGTTATTTTTGTGGCCCCATAAAATTTTAGGCAATTCGGATTTGGACGTCCGGATTCATATGTTGGGGACTATAGCGTACGAAAATTTGAAAATCAACCCGAATTTCAATTTTTTAGCCCTAAAATGCCAAAAAATGAGGAACTCTCATGCCGAAGCCATGGCTATTGTTCATTAAATTTTATAGCCCCGTAAAACTTTATTCGATTCGGATCCCGTAGCCCGAATTCATGCAAATGGTGTGAACTATTATAGCCCATGACAAATTTGAAAATCGGCCTGAATTCCTTTTATTTGCCCTAAAATGCCTCAAAAAAGGAATGGTCGTGTCGAAGCCATGACTTCATTAGGTCATTTTTTATGGCCCCGCATAATTTAGGCAATTTAGATCTGGTAGCTCAGATTCATGCAATCACAAGGTAGGGGGGGTAAGGTCTGCATACACACTACCCTCTCCAGACCCTACGATGTGGGATAATACTAGGTATGCTATTGTTGTTGTTGTAGCCCGAATTCATGCAGATGGCATGGACTATACTACACGAAAATTTAAAAATCGAGTCCGAATTTTAATTTTTTGCCCTAAATGCCAAAAAGATGAATAATTATGCTAAAGCCATGATTATCTTTCGTTAGGTCATTTTTTATGGCCCCGCAAAATTTTGGATGATTCGGATCTGATAGCTCGGATTCTTGCAGATGGCGTGTACTATTACACATATAAATTTAGAAATCGGCTCGAATTCTAGTTTTTAGCCCTAAAATGCCAAAAAAAGAGGAACGGTCATATGCCGAAACTATGCCTATTGTTCATTAGGTATTTTTTATGGCCCCGCTAAGTTTTAGTCGATTTGGATCCTGAGCATGGATCCTGCAGATGGCATGGACTAGAGTACACGAAAATTTGGTAATCGGCCCGAATTCCAGTTGTTTGGACCTAAAATGCCCAAAAACAAGGAATGATCATGCAGAAATAATGACTAATGTTCAGTAGGTCATTTTTTATGGACGCGCAAAACTTTAGGCGATTCAGATCCGGTAGCCTAAATTCATGCAGATGGCATGGACTACTATAGCATATGAAAATTTAGAAATCGGCCTGAATTCCAGTCGTTTGGCCCTAAAATGACCTAAAACGAGGAACGATCTTGCCGAAGCCATGACTATTGCTCTTTAGGTCATTTTTCATGGCCCCGCAAAATTTGAGGCGATTTGGGTTCGGTAACCCGAATTCATGCAGATGGTGTGGACTATAGCACACATAAAAAATTGGAAATTGGCCCAAATTTCAATTTTTTTGCCCTAAAATGCCAAAAAACGAGGAACGGTCATGCAGAAGCCATGACTGTTGTTCATTAGGTCATTTTTATGGCCCCATAATATTTTAGGCAATTTGGATATGGTAGCCCGAATTCATGCAGTTGGTGTGGACTATAGCACACGAAAATTTGAAAATCAGCCCGAATTCCAATATTTTGCCCTAAAATGCCAAAAAAAAAAGGAACGGTCATGCTGAAGTCATGACTATTGTTCATTAGGTCATTTTTATGGCCCGCATAATTTTAGGTTATTCGAATCCGGTAGGTCGACTTCATGAAGTTGGCATGGATTATAGCACACGAAAATTTGAAAATCAACGCGAATTTCAGTTTTTTGACCTTAAAATGACAAAAAAGAAGAACGGTCATGCCGAAGTACTGACTATTGTTCATTAGGTCATTTTTTTATGGCCTTGCAAAATATAGGCGATTCGCATTCGATAGCCCGAATTCATGCAGATGGCGTGAACTATGCATAAGAAAATTTGAAAATCGCCCCCCTTCCAGTTTTTCGGCCCTATAATGCCAAATAAATAAGTAACGGTCATGCTGAAGCCATGACTATGATTTCTGTCATTTTTTATGGCCCTTAAATTTTAGGCGATCCGGACCCAGTATCCCGAATTGATGCAGATGACATGGACAATAGCACACGAAAATTTGAAAATCGGCCTGATAAGTTTTTTGGCCCTGCCAAAATGCGAGGAACTTTGCGGGGTTTAGTGACCCCTCAATACTACACGTAAGTACGCCTCTAATGAGGTGGTTAATTCGATAGCTAATGATTTTGCCAATTTAGCCTTTCGTCAAGAGTCTCAATCTGAATTAACTAGAGCCGTCAAAATAGGCATGGCCCGTGAGGCCAGTCCAACCCAGCTCGCTACTTGGGTGGGTTGAGCTATAATTTTTTGAGCCCATTTAAAACTAAGTCTTATAATCTCGGCCCAAGTCAGCCCGTTGGCCCTTGAGGATTAACCTAGGCTGGGCCTGGGCCAGCCCGTGGGCCAAAAATTAATTAAATTCAAATATAATTAATTGTTAAATATTTAATATTTTAGAAAAAGTAAAAGCTAAAAAACTATTAACTGCAATCCCTATTCCTCAACCCTACATTGCTCATTTACCTTTCTATATCAACTAGAATTTAGATTTTTGGCATGCATGTAATACGACAAAATTAGGTTTTCTTTTGCTTAATTAATAACGAACTCAAAAAGTTTTAGGTGGCCAATAATAATCTTTTTTCAAAAGAAAATATTACTTTAAGTGGTCAATGATAAGTTTGGATTGCTTTAATATATTATTAATATTTAAACTGCTCTTCAGTATAGAAAAGATCAATTATAAATACACAAAAAAAATTGACCACTAGCAAATTTCAAAAAATTTAAAAATTTTATGGACTATAATGATGAAATTAGCAAATGATGTTAATCCTTAATTATAAAACCTCAGCACATAAACTTATTGAAGCAATCCTTGAATCTGAAAAAATGAAAGAAAACATTAAGAAAATATTCATGTAACTTTAAAAAGAAGAGCTAGAGATATAGAGAATTTGCATTTCAATTACGAGATTCCTCGTCAAATATCAAGCTTTTTGTACGTTCTAAGCAAATAGAAGTTGTTTGCATGATTAATTAACTATCTCACGAAAAAACATTTAAGGATTTAAAGAAATTTTTTTTCTAAAAGAAAACATTAAAGGACCGGCCCGTCCTAACCGCGACCCTCTTAGGGCTGGGTTGGGCTGGCCATTTTAAGGCCCATTCATGTGGCGGGCCGGCCCGTCCTAGCCCACCAAATTTAAAAGCCCACGAGGCTTGGGCTGACCCGTTTTGACAGGTCTATGAATGACAATGCCTTTATGTCTTCTAACATTTTTTTTTTTTGCATGTGGCAAGAGATGTTGAAGTTTCATTTCCTCAGCTTGATTTCTACCCATTGTTGCCTTATTTCTCTTTGGAAAGCAAAAAACAAACTTTCTCAATCATTAATGTCACAATGGCCAAATCATAGACAAAAAGGGAGGTTTGAATTGGTCAGCCAATATAATGGACTTTTCTGTGTTTCTAGATCACAGCGTTACGCAAGAAATGCATCGTGCTAATGTCGTAAGAGAGAAGTTTGATTCGAATTTATTCCACGTATACAAATACCTACACGCAACAACAACAACAACAATAACAACTAAATAAAATCCCACTAGTGTGGTCTGGAAAGGATAGAGTGTACGCAGACCTTACCTCTACCCCGGAGGGGTAGAGAGGCTGTTTCCGGGAGACCCTCGATTCAGAGAATATATATGTAGACACACACACACCCACGCACACACTAACTGGTATCGAAAATTTACTAGCTCGATTAATCCATTTTTATGTTGTTATATAACTAAAATTTTGGTGATATTAAGGTATTACTGTATAAAAAATACCTAGATAGTTAAAACTGAATCTTATATATATATATATATATATATATATATATATATATATATATATATATATATGTGTGTGTGTGTGTGTGTGTGTGTATTTAATTACTTTAAGATTTCTTATAGAAATATTAAGAATTTACAAAAAAATGTAAATAGATTTCTTCGAATATTTACTTTATACTTTTATCGGAAAAGGGTCAAAAATGCCCCAAACATATTAGAAATGGTTTAAATTTGCCCTCCTTCCACCTATTGGTCTAAAAATACCCCCAACGTTTATTTTCGGATTCAAAATGCCCCTCATTTTAATAATGAAGAAAATTTCAAAGGGAAATGACCCATGTGATACTTTTGAAGTTTTCTGTAGATGAGTATTTGTCATTTATAGTTTTGAAAGCGTATTCAAAAGTTGGTCTTGTTGAGCTAGGAATTCAGGTTCATGGACTATTGAGGAAAACGTGCACTGCTGGTGATTTTCTTTCTCTGTTAATTGAGTTTCACGAAGGTAACATGGCTGTCAATGGTGAATACTTACCCATTTTCGTGACTTTCAAGTATTGTTTGTTTTCCCATTTTCTTCTTCATCCCAAACTTGCACCCAATTACTGTTCGTCAGAAAATTACCAGTCGCCAATTTCCGGTAAGGAGAAAGGGGTTCGGATTTTGGATTTACTTCACATGGGTCGGGTTAATTATGGATGGGTCTAATATCCACGCGGACCAATAAATCAATGCCACCTATTTAATTAAAAGCCCCACATATGCCATCTCATACTTCCGTTAAAATGAGGGGCATTTTTAATCCGAAAATAAATGTTGGGGGTATTTTTAGATCAATAGGTGGAAGGAGGATAAATTTAAACCATTTCTAATACATTAAGGGCATTTTTGACCCTTTTCCATACTTTTATTCCCGTTAGCGAAAATTTTAGCTCTCGTATCCATAAGTATAGCATACTCGTTTGAGATAAGTGGAGGAGAGCTAATATGTACTGTTGGTTTGAATTGGTCAGCACTCAACATTTGGACTTTCTTATTTGACCAATGACCATTCCACGTAGAAAAACTCGTTTTTAGCAGTCAACTCTCCCTTTTTCTCCACATGCCTTTTTTGTTCACTTCTCATTATTTACACTATAAATCTTTCCCTTTTAAATTCAAATGTTTCTATCTTCTTGTTTTCATTACTCATCTCCTATAAAATCCACCATCTCATGCACCCAACTTCTCCATCAAATTTCATAAATAAGTTTCTAAATCGCGCAAAAAAGACAAGTTATTTTTCATATCCCAAGATTGTGCTCGTTTTCCCGAGTAATTTGGTTGTCACTGACATTCCACTCATAAGTAGGTTCACATCGTGTCTAAATTCCCTCTATATTTCAAGTTCAAGTACACTTACTAAGAAACTCAACACGCCACGTCAGTAGAAAGAGTTAAGCTACTAAGCTAAGCTGTTGTTACGGAACTTAGGGGCCGCGTCCACTTTTCAAGGCTACATAATAGCTCCCCTTTTTCTTTTCGAATTCCGTCTTTTATAATGGATTGTGCTTTCAATTGGGAATACAATACACTAATCAATGAGCTAACTCAAGGTATTGAATACACAAAGCAACTTAGATCTTACTTGAGCTCAATGGCTTCCACTTCTGAACATCAAGAATTGCTTCTGCAGAAGATTCTTTCTTCTTATGAGCAATCTCTGTTAATTCTCAAATGCAGTGGATCGGCCGTTCAATCTCCACAGCCTGTGACACCAACATGTGGCGCGATTGAATCTTCGGTTTCAGTTGATGGAAGTCCTAAGAGTGAGGACAAGAAAAGGAGTTTCAAAGATCATCAGGAGCTCATAAATGTTTCAAAGAAGAGGTACAACAAATTCCGTTCAAAAAAATGACATTTTTCTATATTTAGAAGCTCTTGAACTTTACGCATCACTTTTTCTCTTAAGAACATGATCTTATAGCCATAGAAATGTGACCAGCGGCGGAGCCAAGATGGGTTTGAAATTCTAGTCCTTTTAAGCTACTAAGTTCTAAATTGATAATTTATATACTCAATGGATTTCATAAAACAAATATATAGTATGAACCAAAGCTATTGAGTTTGGCCGAACCCGCAACCGCAAAGGCTAGCTCTGCCCCTGGAAATGTCAAGACATGTTTAAATTAACAAGTTTTAAGGGTACTTTTGATATGTGCTCAAAAGTTTCTTTCTTTTTAAAAATCCGTGTCCAGTCAAATACTGTCATATAAAATTAAACGGCGAATAGGTCAAACTTAACCTGGTTCTTGATATATGTTGCAGAAAATCACAGCCTACATGGACTGAACAAGTCAAAGTCAGTGCAGAGACTGGATTTGAAGGTCCTACTGATGATGGATATAGCTGGAGAAAGTATGGTCAGAAAGACATTCTTGGTGCTAAATATCCTAGGTAATAAGTCAATTTCTTCTCAAGTTCTAAATAAAAAATGCACCAAATTCATAGAGTTTAAATCTCGAATCCTCCTCTGAGTACATAATTAAGAAATCAACCGTATACTTTTCTAGGAATTCTCGGAAATAGAGTCCTATGTTCTGATACCAAGTTTACATGTGTTTTGCAGAAGTTACTACAGATGCACATATCGTCACATGCAAAATTGTTGGACGACGAAACAAGTGCAAAGGTCAGATGATGATCCTACTGTATTTGAGATCACATACAAAGGCTCTCATACTTGTCACCAAGCTAGTAATTCTGCACTACAACCGAAATCACCAGAAAACCAGGAATTCAAGAAACAAGCCAACTATCAAACAGGGCAATATTCAAATGAAATACTGATGAACTTGAGAGCAAACCTGAGAGTCGATACTAATGATTTGGACAAGAATGAGACTACAGCAGCATGTTCTTTCTCCTTTCCTCCAACATTCTCTGGTTTGACAGACGAAAATCGACATTTCCAGATTTCCCATGTTGATGAAAATCTGATGATAGGTGGCGGCTATTCACCGTCTTTTGTCTCTCCTACAACCCCTGAATCAAACTACTTCTCAATCTCGAGCAGCTGTCAGATGAATGGCTTTGGAATGGTTCATAACGTGCACCGTTCAGAATCAGACCTCACTGATATATTCTCAGCCAACACTTCCTCAACAAGTTCTCCAATTGTGGGCGGCGAGTTTTCACTAGACCATTTCGAGCTGGATCCAAATTTTCCATTCGATAACCCCAGATTTTTCTCATGAACACAAGCTAATGCACTTGAAAAGAACAATAAATATGAACAGTGTGGATGTGATCACCAGAATACTTTGAACAAGTCGATGATCCCTCCTTTAGTGTTTAGTATAGACATGCTTTGTAAAACTTAGCAACAAAACTAGGCATTGAATAGAAACTAGCTATTGTTTGTGTCATTAGTCTACTGTATTTCAAGGACTGAACTTCCTGTAATCTGACATCAAGCTGCTGAGTGAAATTCAAGCATATTCTTTCAGAAGGCTATTGAACATTCATGAATCTATCAAACTACAGAAAGCTAAGTTGGATTCATCTTTGCTTACTATCATAAGTAGACCGAGAACAATTGGGGAACGTATTTAGTAGCTTTTACTTAGACCTTGTATTTGTATAAGAAAATTTATTAATACATGTAAGTATTTAATTTCTGTGGAAATAGGAGTTACTTAGTTAGTAGTGGCATTATTGTAAATACCTTATCAGTTAATTAGCTAAGTGGGTCATTAATGTGATTAGTTAGACATATAAGTAGAGGCAGTTATTGTACAGTGCAATCAACGAACTCATTTCTTCTTCTTCTCATATAATATCGAAGCTCTCTCCTTTCTTCTCCATTCCTCTCTTTCCTCCATTCTTAGATCTAGGGTTGAGATCCAATTCAACCGTAGATTTACATGGTATCAGAGCGATTAAGCCACGATTGTGGGCTGAAATTGCAGATCCAATGACTGAATTTATCGATTGAGAAGAATCTCTGCTTTCTCTGTTTCTTCTTCAACAATGGCGAACACAGTCCTCGATCACAACCATGCGCTGTATTTGCATCCCTCAGACACAACAGGAGCTCCGATTGTGTCAATTCAGCTGACCGGATCAGACAATTACTCGATTTGGATCCGTGCAATGAGAATCCAACTGTTAGGTAAGAACAAGTTAGGGTTAATTGACGGTACACTGAAGAGAGGAGATGTCGGAGAGAATCTAGGTCATCAATGGGACAGATGTAATGCAATAGTATTGGGATGGATTATGAGTTCTGTGTCGAAGGAGTTAGTAACAGAAGTAGTATATGCTAAGGACGCATGTCGAGTCTGGGAAGATTTAAAGGAGCGTTTTGATAAAGTCAACGCATCTAGGATTTATCAATTGCACAAAGAGATTGCAACTTTATATCAAGGAACTGATAGTGTGTCGACATATTTTACTAAGCTCAAGGAGCTTTGGGATGAATATGAGAGTATGATTCCAGCTTGTCGTGACAATGAATTTGTTGAACATCTGCATAGACAGAAGCTAATGCAATTTTTAATGGGGCTTAATGAGAATTATGAACAAGCGCGAATTCAGATTCTTATGACAAATCCTACACCTAATGTGAGCAAAGCATATGCGATGATCATTGAGAGAGAAAGCCAGAGAGCTGTCTCTAATGTGTCTATGATGAATGAGAATTCAGAAGTCACAGCTTTCATGACTACAAAAGGAGGAAGTTTTCAAGGAAACTTTCAGGGACAGAATCATAGACCTAGGAAGAATTGGAATTTGCATTGTAATTTCTGCAAAATGAAGGGACACACAAAGGAGACATGCTACAAAATAGTAGGATACCCTACTGATTTTAAGTACAAGAAAAGAGGATCAGGAGCCAATGCTGCAAGTGCTAATACTGCTTACAATATAAGTGCTGAGAATTGTAATCCTAATGTTGCAGGGTCAAGTGGAGGAAGGATTGAAGCAACAGACAAGGGACACATGACTGAACAAAGATGTTCCACAAAACACGATGGCTAACATGGCAGGTATGATGCAATCTTTTATGGCCAACACAGTTAGAAAGGAATGGATAATAGACACCGGAGCAACTAACCATATGATATCAGATTTAAGTATGCTACAGAATATTAAAAAGCTTGATTCCTGGAGTTGTAGGAAGGTACACATGCCTAATGGTCAAGTAAATATGGTATCACACATAGGTGATTGCATAATTTCTAAGGGACAAATAGTGAAGAATGTGTTGTTTGTGCCTGATTTTCAGTACAACCTTATGTCAGTCTCTAAGATAACTAGAGACCTTCATTGCTCAGTTACACTCTTTCCTCATTTTTGCCTGTTCCAGGACCTCTTAAGTGGGAGGATCAAGGGGATTGGTAAAGAGAAAGATGGATTGTATCTTTTCTTACCTGCTGATGAACGAGAAAAGGTGAGTAGAGGGCTAAGTGCACAGGAGAAAGGACTTGATGATTTCTTGTGGCACAGAAGGCTAGCACATGCTTCTGGAGGAGCTATGAGAGAGATTCTTGGATTGCCTATTGAAAATTGTAGAGATGTAATAGATAAATGTGATGTTTGTCCTTTAGCTAAACACACAAGACTACCTTTTCATTCTAGTGACAGTAAGAGTACTGAAATTTTTCAACTATTACATTTGGGTGTTTGGGGACCTTACAACACTTCTACTGTTGATGGTAAGTACTTTCTAACAATAGTGGATGACTATTCTCGTGTGACTTGGATTTTTCTGCTGAAATTCAAGAGTGATGTGTTCATTGTATTAAAAAATTTCTTTAAAATGGTGCACACTCAGTTCAGCACTATGGTAAAAACAGTAAGGTCAGACAATGGGACTGAGTTTGTAAATCATAACTTCACTAGCCTGTTGAGAGAACTAGGTATAGTACATCAAAAAACATGTGTCTACACTCCTCAACAAAATGGAATAGCTGAGAGGAAGCATAGACACATTCTTGAAGTGGCAAGGGCTATTAGGTTTCAGGGGCACATTCTTGGCAGTTGTGTATATTATCAACAGTGTATATTATCAACAGATTACCTTCAATTGTTTTACAGGGAAAATCACCTTATGAGTTGTTTCATGGAAAAAGGCCAAGTATGCTACATTTGAGAACTTTAGGATGCTTATGCTTTGCTAGTGTTTTGCCTAGACAAGATAAATTCAGTCCCAGGGCAGTTAAAGCAGTGATGATGGGGTATTCTAATGTCACCAAAGGATACCTTTTATACAACTTGGAGAAAAGGGAGTTCTTTATCAATCGGGATGTTGTTTTCAAAGAAGGAGTGTTTCCTTTCAAGGATATCGAGGGGCATGTTTTACCAACTTCCTGTCAGGAAGGTGGTTTCTCTAACAATCCTTTTTTGTTTGCAGATATTGATCCTAACATGCCTACTTCTGTAGCAGAAACATTGCAGCCTCAAGCCTCTATAGATAATGATTTGCAAGAAGGAAATGTACCATCTCATCTCCTGACCATTGATACAAATCTGCCCAATGCTTCCTCTGTGGACAATCAAGCACCACATAGTGATTTACCTGGTTCTTCCACACAAGTCAATGAGGATAAAGTCTTTGAAGAACCCACTATCTACTCATCAGATACTTCAACACCTTTAAGGAGATCTGGACGAGTGACTAAACAACCATTGTGGTTGACAAACTATGTAGTGCCTCTGCCAGCTAAGAAACCTCATTCTATGGCCAATTATCTCACATATGATCATATATCATCTTCTCACTTAGGGGTTTTTTCAGCAATATCTGAGCCTACATCCTTTTATGAGGCCTGTAAAGATGCTCGATGGATAGAGGCAATGCAGACAGAGATAGCAGCACTACAAGCTAACAACACCTGGGAGTTGGTCTCTTTGCCACCAGGGAAGACCCCCATTGGATGTCGGTGGGTATACAAAGTCAAGCTTAAAGCAGATGGAGATATTGAAAGATTTAAAGCTCGACTAGTAGCCAAAGGTTATAGTCAAAAGGAAGGACTTGACTATAATGAAACATTTTCCCCTGTAGTCAAGATTGCTACTGTTAGAACTGTGCTCTCACTAGCTACTATGCAAAGCTGGCATATTCAACAAATGGATGTATACAATGCTTTTTTGCAGGGAGATTAGATGATGAAGTTTATATGGAGCTGCCACAAGGATTTTCAAGTCAGGGGGAGACAGTTGGCAAATCTCAATTAGTTTGCAGACTTGTTAAATCCCTGTATGGATTGAAGCAAGCCAGCAGACAATGGAATCTGAAATTAACAGAAGCCCTATTAAAGTCAGGTTTCAAACAAAGCAGTCTTGATCATTCTTTATTCATTAAGCAACATCAAGGTGATATAGTGGTTATTCTTATTTATGTCGATGATATGCTGATTGCTGGAAATAATCAGCAGTTGATACAGACAACAAAGGACTCCTTGCACAAAGCATTCAAGATTAAAGACCTAGGAGAGCTAAAGTTCTTCCTGGGAATGGAATTTAGCAGATCAAGTAAAGGCATTTTGGTCAATCAAAGAAAATATGCCTTGGAAATTATATCAGAATTGGGGCTTGGAGATGCTAAACCAGCTTGGACACCTCTTGAAGTCAATGTGAAACTTACTGTACCAGAATATGATAAGTTGACATGCAACAAAGTTGATAATCTACTTGAAGACAAGGGGCAGTATCAATGACTAATAGGAAAGTTGTTGTATTTGACACTAACAAGACCTGATATAGCATATACAGTCCAAACACTCAGCCAGTTTCTTCAACAACCAAAAAGATCTCATTGGAATGCAGCTATGAGGGTTGCTAGGTACATAAAGAGGGAACCAGAGCTAGGAGTATTGTTCAGCAGTGAGAAATCAAATAAGATCTCTGTGTTTTGTGATGCAGATTGGGCATCATGTCCTAACACAAGAAGAACAGTGTCAGGATTTTTGATCAAGTATGGTGAATCACTGATTTCTTGGAAGTCCAAGAAACAAAACACAGTGTCGAAAAGCTCAGCAGAAGCTGAGTACAGGAGTATGGCCAGTGTTGTTTCTGAAGCTGTTTGGCTGATTGGATTGTTAAAAGAATTGGGAGCAGATGTGATACTGCCAGTTGAACTATACTGTGATAACAAGGCAGCTTTGCAAATAGCTGCCAATCCGGTATATCATGAGAGGACTAAACATATTGAAATAGATTGTCATTTCATCAGGGAGAAAATACAAATGGGACTGATCAAGACACAACATGTGGCTTCGAAGGATCAATTAGCAGATATATTGACAAAGGGACTCACCAGGATGCAACATGAATCATTGCCTGGCAAGCTGGGAGTACTTAATGTTTTTGTACCCGCCAGCTTGAGGGGGAGCGTGGAAATAGGAGTTACTTAGTTAGTAGTGGCATTATTGTAAATACCTTATCAGTTAATTAGCTAAGTGGGTCATTAATGTGATTAGTTAGACATATAAGTAGAGGCGGTTATTGTACAGTGTAATCAACGAACTCATTTCTTCTTCTTCTCAGATAATATCGAAGCTCTCTCCTTTCTTCTCCATTTCTCTCTTTCCTCCATTCTTAGATCTAGGGTTGAGATCCAATTCAACCGTAGATTTACACGAACCCAACAACTAAGATGAGTTACGAAAAAAGAAGAGGACAGGATATGGGCTTAATAGCAAATTCACAATCCTTAAACTAAAAATGAAGGAGTGTCACATAAATTGGGACGAAAGGAGTAATAGTTTTACTTATAATGTCCAATTTACCCCCACACAAATATCTATGGCTCGTTTTAGACCAAAAGTTTCAAAAGTCTTCTTTTCTTTCTTAAACTCCGTGACCAGTCAAACAGTGTCACGTAAACTGGGATGGAAGGAGTATTATTTTAGCCTTTCAACTGGAGCACACCATTCACATGAAATTTGTCGGAGCATTGTATTTCAACAGGTCATCAAGAAAACCAAACCATAAATTCCAACAGATTAAATAAGAAAAATACAATAGTTTAAGAATGACTAGAACCATCACCAAAAACACGAGAACCAGAGAAGATGGTGATTATCTGAGGTCTTCAATGTCTGCGTCATGCCGTCGATTTTATGCAATCTTTCTGTTGATGCATCAAGATGGGATCCTTGCAACTATGCTTGTGGTAAGATACAATCTTGACAGGAGGGTCCGAGCCAGCACATCAATAACAGCAACTACCTACCTAAAACAGATGGGCAAAGAAAAAACAGACATTTTTCTTTGAACCAATGATATATACTGATGCATACAAACAACAAAGGATGATATGTACATGTCAACTAGAAAGATGACTTCTTTTCCTCTTTGATTCTAGAGACATCATTGGTTTTGCCTTCTTCAGAATTCCCGGCTTTTCTAATAGCTTCTCTTAGACCCAACACAATGAATAAGTTGGTTAAAGTGAGCAGTGACTCAGCTCCTCCGTGCAACCAGTCCACGTTCGATAGAGAAGTTCCATAATGCACTTTCGCTGTCACAAAGCATATCAATTAGAATCACAAATTTAAGTTTGATTAGTACAATTAATAGATTGTTTACTGAGAGAGGAAGTTACCATAAATTCCTGCAGGAACTGCACGAACAAGGTGAAAGAGAAGGAACCACAAGATCAGAACAAATAAAATGAAGTTAAAATAATATTGCCAGTATAGAGAGGTAAACTTTTGAAGAAGATTACGAAGTACATATGTAAAGACATCAGCAGAAAAATATGAGGGACAAAATTTACACACTACTTTCCATCTATTGATGGCAATGCAATAGAAGCAATAAAAAGAGGATAGTGATGAAAGATTTTCCAACTATAGTTAAAGCGTTCTGTAATGCATAAAACCAGTCATTAACGACGAACTGTTCAAGCAAATAAACCAACTACCTACCCAGGGAAAGCATTTCAATGATTGTTCTCGTCGGATTTGAACCTAGTAAACAAATCAAATCCAGACATATCTACTGGAAAGCCAGAAAAGGAATCTGCATTCATGCTTGAAGCCTTTATAACTCCGAACCATCCTATGTGCACGTAAAGAATATTCTTTGAAAGTAACATACAAGAAGAAATAAGAGATGAAACAATGGTTAGAATTATAACTTTTATACTACTACGTGAAAGCTTTTCTCCCTTGAGATATTGTAAAGACACAAGCTTTCTGGTTGAATATGGCAAATTGAAGTAAGAACAAGATTCAGGTAAGTAACTCTCTTGGATCATAACTTATACAAAGTATAGTCTTTGTAAGTAGGATCAAAGCGCAATGAAAGAACCTACCGATTCTTGCCAGTCATAACAACCAGAACGGGTTAGCCTTCATTTGCCCCATTGGCGAAGTCATAAGTTGTGGTGACTACTATAAAGTGATTTCCATAGTTCAATAGAGCAAAGAGAGAAGAGCATGCCGATTTCCTTTACTTTATTATTAAACTCTCTCATTACGTGCGTTTAGGCTAAGCCTTACAAAAACCAGTTTTCGACAAAAACTATTCCATAACAACTCAACCTAAGAGCTGATATGTCTCCAATACCTCTATCATCCTATTAATACAGTTATTCCTAAATCCTAACAGAAGGGAAAATCATTATTGCTCTATAGAACTTCCCCTTCAATTTGACAGCTAGTTACTTTCTTCTGTGCTGCCACATTAACCAAATTACACATTATGATTAACATTTCGTCCCTCCATCGCCAGCTCCTTTGATTGGCTAGAGAGCAGTAACTACAACTGTTAAGAGCAGCAGATTTTAAACTGTCTCACAGTGATTCATGATCAATAAAATATCAATTAACATATCCAACTATTCTCTATCTGCTTAATGACCCCAAAATATAACTGAGGGTAAAATAAGATATTTAGTGGTAAATTCGAAGGGGAGCCTTAGAGCAATGGTAAGGTGGTATCCGTCACGGGTTCGAGCCGTAGAAGCAGATACTAATGCTTCCATTAGGGTAGGCTGCCTGCATCACATCTGTAAGGATGTGGCCCTTCTCATACATCGCGTGAATAAAAAGGCAGCCCGGTGCACTAAGCTCCCGCTATGCGCGGGGTCCGGACCGTAAGGGTCTTTTGTAGGCAGCCTTACCGTGCATTTTTGCAAGAGGCCGTTTCCACGGCTCGGACCCATGACCTCCTGGTCACATGGCGGCAACTTTTCCGGTGGTAAATTTCAACATTTTCCCTAAATGATGTTACTGATCAATCTAAAAAACAGTCAAATTATGATGAATAATCTAAACAACATAACAAGAAAAACAGCATTTAAAAATCAAAATAAGGATGTTACTCACTAGTGGCCCCTACAAAAGCAAGCAAGAAATAGAACCCAAAAAGTGTAAGTTTAGGAGCAGTCTTGGATTTGGTAATGAAGTACAAAAAACCAATATAAGGGAAAAGTGAAAAAGCAAAAAGCTGTGAAGCTATGCTTTGTGAATCAACATTTGGTGCCCATGGATCAACTGGTAAAAATCCACATTTTACAATTCTTGTTCTTCTTTTACTGTCAAGTCTTTTACTTTTACCACAGTAATTGAGTTGTTTGGTAGAATTTCTCAAATTGGGATATGTTTGGAAACAGTGGAAAAATGGAGAAGAAGAGGAAGCTAGTGTTATGGGGTTCTTCCAAACAGGGTGTAAGCAGTTTAACATTTTGCAGAAATGACCTTCTTTTTTGTAGCATGAAAGGAGAAATGAAGGCTCAACCGTAAGTAGGAGATAGAGTGAGAGGTGTTGAATGTGGGCTTGCTGGATGATTTATGAACCGGTTCGTAGTTGGGCCTAAATATACTCGGAATCTTTACACAAATAGCCCGACAATTTTATTATTTACTTTTCTAGCCAGTATACATAGATTAAGCACTAATTATACATAACTATACGTATATTAGACATGAACTATATTTATACTATACATAATTATACATATATTATACATGAATTATATTTATACTATACATCCGTCGGATATTTTTAGTTTAAGCGATTGGGTGGACGACTATTTACAGCTTGTTTGGATGGTTGTTACTTATCGTATTGTATCGTATTGTTACTTTAAATACGATATTTGTTTAAATTGTTACTTAAATTTTATTGTATCGTACCGTTAAATCCGTTGTTATGTAACGACGAAATGTGCCACTTTATGTGACGACCGCATCGTTACCTTGTCTATTTCTCTCATCTCACCCATTATTATTATTAACAGATTTTATTTTATCAATCACCCTACTTTTTTATATAATAATTTTACCCCATATCATAATTTTTTTATAATATTACTCGTGCGTGATATCATGAAAAAACGGCAAACGATACAATCTGTCCAAATATTGTATTCATCAAATGATAGAGTACAATACAATACGATACATTATGAAACGATATGTAACAATCATCTAAAAAAGCTCTTACGTTAATTCTTCCTACTCTACTCAATTTAAAGATGGCCCATTAACCTTTTTTCTCTATGAACTTTATAGAAATGGCACCAAGTAGCCACTCTAAACGGCTGCTATTTAGGAATTAGCTAGTGCATCCTGAATTTCAGTTTTTCAGTTTAATTTTTCGGGATAAAAATATCCTGAATTGTCCTAAGTTAAGATTATTGGTTCAAAATTTTAGGACAAAATAAGTACTGGTTAATCTCTAAAACGTATCCCTGAGAATGGCTATTTATACACTTGCCCCCATGAGCTTTCATCTATGGGCCGTTTGAAAAATTGCCTAATTGACACCTAAATTTGTAAAAAAACTTTAAAGTTGGCTACTCAACCATTTTAACGCCTCAATTTGACAAAATAAGTATTAATAAACATCTCTATCAGATTGTAACCTAAGGCTGTATTGTGGTCCGGTCCCGGGCCTAAATGGGCCAAACAGGCCGGGCCTAACGGTCACGGGCTCTGGCGGGCCGGTCTCTAGCGGTCCCGAGCCAAAGCCCACATGGTCCCGGGCTAAATGTGTCGGGCCCACGGGCCTAAGTGTTCCGGGCCGGAAAGTATTTTTCTTTGTCCTTCCACCATTCCAAAACATCAAAGGAGCCGTCGGGATTCTCTTTTTCAAGTCCCTGCGACAAATAAACTTGAAGCTCATTTAGTTGTGAAGTATCACCAATATTATCACCTTGAGGACCCCTGAACTCCGTCCAAGAACTAAGTGCTTTTAGGCCCGCAGTTCTTTTAGATGATTAACTAGACGAAGTAGGAGTTGGAACATTTGGTCTAGCATAATCTAAGGCAAGTTAATAAGTATTATAAATTGTTTGAGCATTTATTTTAATTGAGGATTTTGCATCTGCAAGTGTAGCAAATTCCTCATCTGAAAGATCTAAAGCCTTATAAATATTTGCATACCAAAAGTGAGGACCTCCTAATTTCATAGTAGAATTTAACATGACAGCAACACCATAAATAGGGGGATAGGGAAAAAATATTTTTTAAACTTATCTTTCATAGAATTAATAGCAAGTTGATTAATTACCCCACCCTCTGAAAATTGAACAAACAAATCTGCAAGTGCTGCAATATAAACTAAGCAGTTAGAAATAGTAGGATAATATTGCCCAGATAATTCATTTGTAGCAACATGAAATTATTCTAAAAAATCTACAAGAATTTTAATATTAGTCCAATCATGATTTGTAAGGTGCTCATCATCATCATCACCACCAACACGAGCATTAAACGTTGCGTTTATTGGGTTTCTATATTCATATGCAACAACTAAACTTTCATACATGTAACTCCATCTAGTCGGACAAGCTTTAGGAACCTTTTCTTTCTCTAAGGCCAAATTCATCATATTTTTTAAAATATTCTCTAAGTCTACTTCTGCGGGTTGAATAAAAAAATCAATTAAGAGCCATTTTAACTTTTTCAATTTTCACATTTAAAATTTCATACCATCACCAATGATTAAATGATAAATATGACAAATACGTCTAACTTGGAACATATTACTAAATGCAGGATTTAGTGTAGTTGTAAGCAAGCCTATAGCATTAGTGTTACTAGAAGCATTATCCGTTGAAACTGATATTATTTTATCTCTAATGCAAAAATATCTACAAATATCTGCAACTGTGTTAGCAATAAATTTACCTGTGTGACGTGAATTAATTATTCTATAAGCAATAATGCGCTTTTGCATTTTCTATTGCTCATCAATCCAATGAGTGGTTACAGTAAGATAATCACAGTCATTACCACTTCTACCAATATCAGTAGTAATAGCAATGCGACAATCTATACGAGTAAATAAATAGCGCAAATATTGTTCATATTCATGTTTATATTTATAAATATCGTTCTTTAAGGTTGCACGAGGCCATCCTTTATAAGTAGGATTATAAACTCTTCTAATATAATGCACAAAGTGAGGGTTAGAAGGAAAACTATTGGGTAAGCACATAACAGTAACCATTTTTGCCAATTCTTCACGATCTTTATTTGGATCGTAATATAAAATGCCACAGGTAACAGTGTTAATTCCCGGTTGAACTAGATTTGACCCGGTACTAGGGTTAACCTCAGTACCTACACCTGTCCCCTCTTGCGCAACTTTCATTTGAAGATATCTAGCTTTATCTCTAGGGTGTGTCTTTATGTGTCTAGTCAAAGTACTCGTACCTCTACGGTCTCCAGTATATTTATGAGCTATCAAAGACCCTCAAGTTTTACACTTAGCCTTATTTGAGGTTCTAGTTGAGTAAAGAATGCCAAACGAGATGTTTGACTTGATCACGCCTAGTCGTCTCTGTAATTGGTTTTATTAAGTNCAAGTTACATATTAGTCTACATATTATCTCTAACAAATTTCATAAATCCTTCAAGGTTCGGAGGAATTTCCGTTGGTGGTGGCGGAAAAGAAGCTTGTTTCATCACCGCTTCCGGGCGAAGCAACATCTTCCGCAAGTTCCGCTAGCATTTCTTCATAAGCTTCGTCTATCTCCAGTTGTGATTCAGCAAGCCCAAAATTTCTTCTTTCCGAACGGATCCAATCTCTGAAGATTACTGATTTTTCCAAGCTCTCCCTCATAGACGCTTTATGATCACCGATTTGAAGTCTCGCTTGACTGAAAGCGCTCTGTGATACCACTGTTGAAGTTTGAACACTTAAAATATCTCGAGTCATCCTTGAAAGAACCGGATCGTGTTTTTCTTTGTCCTTCCACCATTCCAAAACATCAAAGGAGCCGTCGGGATTCTCTTTTTCAAGTCCCTGCGACAAATAAACTTGAAGCTCATTTAGTTGTGAAGTATCACCAATATTATCACCTTGAGAACCCCTGAACTCCGTCCAAGAACTTAGTGCTTTTAGGCCCGTTGTTCTTTTAGATGATTGCGAACTAGGCGAAGTAGGAGTTGGAACATTTGGTCTAGCATGATCTATGGCAAGTTGATAAGCATTATAAATTTTTTGAGCATTTATTTTAATTGAGGCTTTTGCATCTGCAAGTGTAGCAAATTCCTCATCTGAAAGATCTAAAGCCTTATAAATATTTGTATACCAAAAGTGAGGACCTCCTAATTTCATGGTAGGATTTAACATGGCAGCAACACCATAAATAGGGGGGATATGGAAAAAATATTTTTTTAACTTATCTTTCATAGAATCAATAGCAAGTTGATAAATTACCCCACCCTCTGAAAATTGAACAAATAAATCTGCAAGTGCTGCAATATAAACTAAACAGTTAGAAATAGTAGGATAATATTGCCCAAATAATTCATTTGTAGCAAATTAAATTTCTTAAAAAAATTCTAACTAACGAATTTTTTTAAAGTATTTAAGTTCCAATTACATTGATTTTGTAAGGTGCTCATCATCATCACTCACCAACACGAGCATTAAACGTTGCGTTTATTGGGTTCTATATTCATATGCAACAACTAAACTTTCATACATGTAACTCCATCTAGTCGGACAAGCTTTAGGAACCTTTTCTTTCTCTAAGGCCAAATTCATCATATTTTTTAAAATATTCTCTAAGTCTACTTCTGCGGGTTGAATAAAAAAATCAATTAAGAGCCATTTTAACTTTTTCAATTTTCACATTTAAAATTTCATACCATCACCAATGATTAAATGATAAATATGACAAATACGTCTAACTTGGAACATATTACTAAATGCAGGATTTAGTGTAGTTGTAAGCAAGCCTATAGCATTAGTGTTACTAGAAGCATTATCCGTTGAAACTGATATTATTTTATCTCTAATGCAAAAATATCTACAAATATCTGCAACTGTGTTAGCAATAAATTTACCTGTGTGACGTGAATTAATTATTCTATAAGCAATAATGCGCTTTTGCATTTTCTATTGCTCATCAATCCAATGAGTGGTTACAGTAAGATAATCACAGTCATTACCACTTCTACCAATATCAGTAGTAATAGCAATGCGACAATCTATACGAGTAAATAAATAGCGCAAATATTGTTCATATTCATGTTTATATTTATAAATATCGTTCTTTAAGGTTGCACGAGGCCATCCTTTATAAGTAGGATTATAAACTCTTCTAATATAATGCACAAAGTGAGGGTTAGAAGGAAAACTATTGGGTAAGCACATAACAGTAACCATTTTTGCCAATTCTTCACGATCTTTATTTGGATCGTAATATAAAATGCCACAGGTAACAGTGTTAATTCCCGGTTGAACTAGATTTGACCCGGTACTAGGGTTAACCTCAGTACCTACACCTGTCCCCTCTTGCGCAACTTTCATTTGAAG